GCGACTAGCTATCTCAACGAGATACACGAAGACGGAGGACCGGGAGTTCTCTACGGCGACGTTTCCATTTGGTGATGCGAAGAGAGGAAGGGGAAAAAGATGTATGATCTAAGAAAGACCTTAATAATCCCGATTCATAAAGCCTAGTCTATCCTGGTGCGCCGATACGCCGTGCTGTCGGCCACGAGTGGGCTGATAAAGAATGACGATCGTAAGGGAAGAAAGTTGCACGGCGCTTATCGCCCAATAAATTCTACTTCAGCCAGCATCTGCCTGTCTCTCTCCCTTTCTTCTTCTTCGAGTTTTCTCGCCTTTCGCGGCATCGCATCCCTCCCCGTTCCACCACGTGCCGCAAAACCCGTGTAATTATCGCCGGCAAGTACCAACTAAATTCTCCCTTAACGACGAGTTACGATCGAATTAACAGATTGCTCCGCCAGAAAGAGATTTCGAATTCTCCGATCTTCTTCGCATTCTATATACATTTTGTATCATATCTGACTGAATGATCTTACGTCGTAGTATTTGAAAATAGAATAGATTGCGAAAAATGAAATTAATTAATATGTGTATTATAGTTCAAATTTATTTAATTAATTTTAATAATGATTTTCTGTTTTACTTCGTACCATTTTATATTTCATTAACAGAATAAAATATAAAAAATGAGGTCATTTTTCATTTTTCACGAACCGCTATTCTTTTTTTATAATAAAATAGAATCATAAAGAAATCACATGTAATATCAACGCTTCGATTTTCCTTTCAACTTTCGATAAGATGTAGCAACATTCTCCGTATAATTTAGGAAGTGTGAAAACGATTGTTCAGGAAAGAGAGGGAGAAAGCGAAAGGGAAGACACTCAATAAAATCTCGGGACTGCGTAACAGATATATCGTGACGAAATTGAGATTGGTTATCGAAGACGCTGCAACCTCCTCGCGAGGCGAGAAACGAGAAGAAGGCGTGTCGAGATGCTGTAGCGCGGGCTCAAATCGGATAGTTTGTTCATTAGAGATATTTTCCGACGGATGGACGGCGAGAGGCAAGCGAGGGAGCGTGCTCGGCGTATATTTGTCTTGATAAGTTCGAGGCAGGAAATGAGACTGTCGATAGAAGAGTCTGCGTACTTGCTTCCCTCGAAAGAAGCAAAATCGCCAGAAATGAGAATTTCGATTCGTTTAACGAGGAATAACGGTCGTACAGAAGTATATCTCGACAATCTAAAGGTGATTATGTACAAACGTAAATTCCTCTGGCAAACGCTTTGTTGACTTAGCGCTTTGCCTATTTACGAAGACTTTAATTATTGCGCGCTGTCAAAATGTCTAAATCAGATTTATTCTCATAATAAAAGATGAATCGAAATAAAAATACTGTCAAAATATACAAGGAAGATATATATATATATATATAGATATAGTGTGCAAATATGAATCTTTGAAGGCTAAACTGGCGATTTACAAGAGGCCACAAAATATTATAATTGAGCAGTGCGACGTATTTAATTTGTATAGCTAAAAATTTTATTAGAAATAGTTGATAATAGAAGAAGAGAAAAGATTAGGAGAAGCAGATTATCGATTTTTCAACATACATATGTTACTGATCTTTTTCAAAGCACAATTCCAGATAATATTAAAGTTAACTGCGTTCAAATATCTGCCATTACACGTTGATCGCAACTAGAATCTCATCGTTATTACGACTACTTGAGAAACTCATAAAGGAGCGATTGGCTTGGCTGCGTCGTATTATTTTTATATTCCAAAGACGCGTATACATAATGTTAATGCACATATAACAATTATAATATCGTCAATTTAATAAGCATCGATTAATAATTCAAGCAAAAAACAAATTTCATAAATAGAATAATTAATTTTAACGTAGACTTGTAGTTATATTCCGACTTTAAGACCATGAAATAATATTGAACGTTCTAATGTAAAAATAATTAATTACGTCGTAATCGGAACACGGTTATTTCGGCTTCGCTCTAAAATAGAAAGAAAAAAATGCATTGAAAAATAGAATCATAATCAATTTTGAAAATAAATCCAGTTCCGTGAATCCGTATATATGAAAAAACTAGATATATATGTAACATATCACAAAATGTCGAAGACAATCGAATTATATTTTAAAGACTCGCTCTTAAATATAAATTTGTTCCTATATCTATAGTCGCGAATAGCTTTATCAAAACAGTTATCGATTTTACATTCCACTGCAACTAGAAGGAAGAGGATGACAAAGTAGAAGGAGAAGGAGAAAGAGAGAGTGTGTGTGTGTGTGTGAGATTCTCTTGCTCCCGTATCAGTGGGCAAGGCCCGTTTGACCTGGCACACATGCCGCCCATAGATCAACCAGAACCCTTAGGCCGAACCCCACCATGCCACGGGCTAACCATTAATTTACAACCCGCAGAGTAACCCCATGCCTCAACCCCTGCATACAGGATCCGCGCGTCCCCTTGCGGCAGATATGAGCTACGACGTGGCGCTGAGGGATTCAACCACCCCGACTCTCTCTCCCGAATGGTCCCCTTCTTCTATCTCTCCATTCTGTCTCCTTCGTTCGCCGTCTCCGTTGCCTCCCAACTCTTAAGCGATCTCCATCTACCCGAGAAACTTCTCGTTATACCACGGCGAAAGAAATTTAAATCTATCGACGGCACATCTCGGTTAATCCGCAAGGATAATCCGCGGATGTATCCCGAATCTCGCGCAGCGTAGATTGATTTCTCTCGTAAATTATTATCCGCGTCCTTACATTTTTATTACAGTATCTTTTATGGATGGATAAATAAATTTTATTTTTTGATGATTCGACGTTTATTATATTAGGGAAGTAAGAAAAGAAAAATTAAATTAAATTCTAATCATCTTGAAATTTGTTTCGTTGACGAAGTGGATTCATAACGAGTTCATCGGTGGTAAGGGTAAGGAACAAAACTCTTAATTGTCAGTGGACTTCGAACTATTCAGAACACGAAAGAGAGAGGAGACGAGAAAGGGGCAAATTTACGAAAATTGAGAGAAAATAAGAAAGGGAAAGAAAATCGTGAATGAATGCCAGGGGTTGAAAGGGAGTGGGAAATGCTCTTTGATTTTGCGGGCTTTATCGTCGCTTAATAAGCGGGCGCGAATAGGCCCGCTGTTGCTTGTGCTTTGTAACTCGACGGAAGTAAGTTGTCCTCTGTTTCGTTTTGTTGTCCAGCAATTCCTTCTCTTCTACGTCCCTTTCCGCTCCTCCTCTCGCGAGAATGAAAGGAACGAATAATTAGAGAAGGTTGGCGGGCACGGCCCGAAAGTTTCTGGCCAATTAATTAGACGGAGAAATGCACGGTACGAGAGGTAACCGGCGCATAAACGCCAGAGATGGCAATTTAAACAGCGACAATTCGACTGCGATTATCGTTGCATAAACGGCGCTTCACGACGCGCTTTTATAATATAAAAGCTTCAGTTGATAATAGCGAATATTAGGGACTTGAATATCATAATGGAAAGAATCTGGGCACTATGAATCTAAAATTAAAAGGAATGAATAGATAAGATGTAAACTTAAAATAGAAATAAAGAATATATATTGGTATTTCATATATTTCTTCTTTGTAAATCAAAAGACTAGAGAAGTGAATATAAAGAGAAAAAAAATTTTAATAGGTAGACATACAATCATGCTTGTATAATAAAAAAAACAGATTTAAAAATGTAATTATAGTAAAAAATAATTTTTATTAATAGCTATATGAGTATGGATACGTGGCCTTTTTACTCCGCTCTATATTTCTCAAGCAATAAGTCGTATCTAAATCGAAATCAAGACTAAAGTATTAAGAAAAAAAATGTTTAAAAAACTCGTATCATAAATAACTGCAAGATAAGATACATATATATTAATGTATACGTTTTTTCCTCTCCCTCTCTCTTCAAAACAACCCTATATTGCATTCCGATAATAATATCGCACTGATGCGAATCATATTCTCTTTGTTGTCTTCGTTAAGCTTACAATAATAAAACATCGGCGGCTTTGCATTCGATGGGCGATAAGACGCGTTCCCCTTTTACACTAGAGTGACACTGTATATAGCTGTTGCACCTCTCCAACCTTCCCTTCAATCCCTCTTCTTTCGACCCTCGTCGTCGGACTCGCCCCTCGTTTCCTCCACTTAAAAACCGGTAATTACTCCGAGGCTGGTGCGCTCTGGCATTTACCATCCGCTTTAGCGTTACTCTGTTTTCTTCTTAACAGCGGCTCGATGCAAAACTCGATTTTCGCAACACGTTGTATATCATTATATTATACTGCGCATTAGTTTTCGTGACGCGGACAGCGCAGTGAATTAATTCTGCAGCGAGTATAAAAAAACACCACCGCAAGCATCTTGCAGCGTATTTGTTAACTTGTACTACTTTTTATAGTTCACATAATTTCTCTTTAATCCCGCACAATTCTTTCAAAAATTTTAGTTTAACTTGTCAACTGCCATTACTATTATTATATCATTATTTTGACAATCCAATAGCAGCAGTTATCATAATTTTGACTGTTATTATCTCACCATTAACTTCAAATATTGCAATTTTAACAACCTTGTCATTATCTTTCAGAGTTATAAGTTTTGTCATAATTTTCTTGAGAAGAAGATTGAAAACATAAAGTAAGAAAAATATAAAGTTCAGATTTTTACGGGCTATTTATTTTTAACGAAGTCAACCTCGATGCGTCAATCATATGTGCGCTCAATGACAAAATAAAAAATTTAATGAAAAGTTCCGGAAAACTAATATGTTATAAATTTCTACGAGACCATTCAAATTATAGTTTTTTATGTATAAATATATACATATATGCACCTGATGTATACTTTCTTAAAAGAGTATAATTGAAAAATTTGAAATAATGAAAAATATATATTTTCGCACACAGAATTAATAAAATAAAATCTAAAAATAATATATAGATATAAAATATACAAAGTGCTAACCTTGATCGTCGCGTGGTGGGATCTTTCATGACCATGACCTCTGTGATGTCTCCATACTTGGTGAAATACTCCCTGAGGCTCTCTGAAACAAAATGATTTATATCGATTACTTTTTATAATGAAGAAGTAATATGATTTAATAAATATTTTCAATAACTATTTTAGATTTATTAGACATCGTTATAACATCTCACATATTGCATTTTTCTTAAACATCGCATTTTTCTCGCATTATTCTCAGTCATATAAAATGTCACCTTTATTATGACACATTCTCGCCATTCTTCACGAAAATATTCTTTTACAAAAAAATTGGTCTCTTTGGTGAAATACATATATAGTGACGAAAATCCAAATAACATCCTATCGTACAAGCATCGCTGTCAACCAAAGTTAGAGTTGGCAACACAGAAGATCACTGACGCTAATTGGAATTAGTAGATAACAACGCGTCGACACTTCGGAACGTAATCCTCATAGCCTGATAAACGCGCGGTGCGTGCGTTCAAAGTAAAGCTTTAGCTTAGCACGATCTATCTTTGATGACAGCTAATTCGACATATTGTGCATTTGCTATGACGAGTCAACTCAACAATCACACTTTATGTTTAAAATAGATAACAACAAAATTAATTTCTGAGTTAAAAAATTAAAATAATAACAGTAAAAATTAAAATCGAAGCATAACTAATAACACAACGGTACATTGAAAATATAGCCGATGAAATACGAAAAAGCAAATGTTTTCTCTCTTCAATCAACTTTTATAATTTTTCTATTAAAAAATTACTTCAGATTGTTCAAATAAGAGCATCAGAAAAATCCATAAGTCACAAATTAATATCTTTTGTCCACTGAATATGAAAGAGCAGGAAAAAAATCATACCAAGCGTTCATTCTCTCTTTCTACTTTTTAGTTGACCGAGAAATTATCCAATCGCATATGTTCCACACAATCAATGCGACCGATGTAATCAATGTAGAGCTTTCTCGCTCTTTTTCGCCAGGGACACCCCCTTGACCCTTTTCGTAGGCTTATAGCAAAAGGCTGAATACTGGCGGCGGGCCAACATGGCCGCGCTCCAAATACATCTTACACCTTATCTAATTATACGCTGTTTCATCCAGTCTGCTCTAAAGACTTCGTAATGTTCAGCGGTTACTTGGCTCTTCAGTCGCGAATGAGTTTCAATAAATCCCAACATAGCTTCACAATACGCGGCAAATCTAAATACGCTTTTCTAAATTACTCTTCCAATGGATTGTACCTATAAAATACATTCATAGAAAGAATAGATAATATTTTCTAAAAAATATATTCTCTTTAAAAAGCGATATAATGTCTGATAATATTTAGAACCTATTAAAAAATATACTAAGAATAATTTTACATACAATTATTATAGTTTTTAAAAATAATAAATATATATATTTTTTTACCTAAAGAATACGTAATAATATTATTTAAATAATAAAGAATAAATTGTGAAATATGTGTTTAATTAGAGTAAAATTAAAAAAAATAATTGCCGTACCAACATTGAAGCATTAATAGTTGTATTTGTAAGTATTAAAAATTTTTGTACTGCAATTAAATGAATTTATTCTTTAGTTAGATTCAAACGTATTTGCTTTAGCAAAATTATAATTTAAGACTTAAAAAATATTTAACACCAAAATGCAAGACATTTAAACATTTAAAGAGAATACATAAATGGAAGGAAAAGTAATAAAAAATGGATTAAATATATTAAATAGAAATAAAAATCTTAATTATTATATATGTATTTTTTACAATGAAACGCATACACAAGCGACTGTTATCGTAAAAATTTGAAGCGTTTGATAATTGTTATTTTCATGTAAAATACGAGATAACAGGACTTGCTAATTCAACGCGCGGCATTAATCAATGAATTATTGGTATCCCCAGGTCATTAGCCGTCGGGCACCACCTGTTTGGTAACAAGCCTCACGCATAAATTACACCCAACCCCTCTATATATTGTTAATTAGTAACACCAAGTCAAAATTCTTAAGGAGGCATATAGCGAGAATCTGTTATCGACCACACCGGCTAATGTTCGTTTCATGACGAAACATTTAAAAGACAATTAGCTAGATCAGAGATATTGACGTCACCGTTTATTACGCCATCACCTTCCTCGTCGAAAATAAGATTTTGTTAATAAAAAAGAGCATTATCGAAGCGCGTGCCGTTGAATTACTTCTTAATGGATTTGTAATTTGCATTTAATTCGAGAAACTTTTTCGGAAAACCAAAAAAGCGGACTCTTTAGAGGTGTACTGACGCGAAAAGATCTCAAATCTTGAAAACTTGTACGCAAAGAACAATGGAGCGACAATGACTGAACGTATATTCTATGTAAAACCCTTACTGATGAAGCTGAAAAAAATTGATATAATTTTCTCTATTATAATTTGCTTACATATAAATTTTATTTAGTATAAAAATAAATATATATCTGAATATACAATATAGCTAAATATATTAGCGAATAAAATAAACGTAAAAGTTTATTTTTCTCTAACACATTTCGTCTGCGGATATTTCTTCACAAGTACTTTTCGTAACATAATTCTCTTAATTTTCGCGGCACCCTTTGATAATTTTCTAGATTCACTCCTGTAACGTCAGCCTACTATGAAAATGTCGTTAAAATAAGAGAAATGCACCCCATTCTCCAAAGGGCTGGCTTGCCAATGCTGCCTTAATTTGTCCTGGCGGATTGATGGAAGCAATTTCGTCGTTCTTGCGAGAAGACGCTCTTAAAACGTGTCCGCGATCCGCCAAAATTTACGGCTGTCATTTCCTTAATTGTTCTCCGGCACAACTTATTTTTCACGCGCGGCCCTCGCTCGTCCCGCATTCTCATTTCAACCGTTGCAGTCGGTCGAAAGGTACGCTCGTGCCTTGGCCCTTTGCCGGTGACGCGACTAGCTTACTCAGCCCAGAACTCTTCTTTGCCCCGAATGGCAACAAACGGAAACGGGAGCGATATGTTGCCGACTCCGAATGAAGTAGTGTTTGGAGGAAATGGAATGTTTACTTGTAACTTGCTTTAACTTTTCTCTCAGGAATGTAGTAATTTATGATGTTGTGAACAAAGAGCATTGCAGTTATTATAGCAATAATTAATTGAGTACATACATATCCACGCAAAATTTTGTCAGAAATGAACAATACTATATTTCACTAATCAATTGCTTTAATAAATAGACTAAGATCACATTAATAGAAATGTTTCGTTTTAAGTAGTATTTTGTTTCTCCATTAAGAGAATATTAATTACATTGCTCAAAGAAACTCGCGGATATTATTAAAATACAAAATGATAAAAAATATTTCACAGAGTGTATGCTTAACAAAAAACGCGAAAAGCGTGTACTGTTTTTATTCCAACAGCCCATGTATTTTTTCTAGTCCATGTATATAATTTTATATGTTTTAATTGTATGTTTATGAGAAAATTTGAAGTCTATAAAACGAAAAAGTTACAATAAAAAGTTCACGAGTTTTAAATTTTCTAAAATGGCATTGTACCGCATAACAGGAATTGTTATAAATTTATTTTGTTACAAAAATCAGATCTATATCATTTTCATTAATACCCTCTCACTGACAAATTAAATCTCGTATATCTTTAAAAGTTTTACTCTAAGAAACAATTTATAAACCTCTTTAGATAAGAGTGGCTATAAATTGTTGACTAAATAAATCACAACTTACTTTAAGAAGTTTTAAAGTTTAACAATCGACTGAAATTTTCATTGTACCGGTACAACCCTAGAAATCGAGGCGCTAGACATTGCAATAGCCCCTGAAAAATTGCTAAAAAGCGAAACTAATCAGAGTTCTTTTGTATTTTTTTTTCTTCGAATTCACGAATGTAATCCTTAAAAAGAGAACTTGTCCTGGACCTTTTTATCCTCTTTTCAGATAGAAAAAGAGAGAGAGAGAGAGAGAGTTCACGTCTCGACTCGCGTCGTACTTGGAGCATATTGGTCGCCGTGCCATGAGAAAGCTCTAGAACCGACTATCCACGCGGTAGTCAATGGCGGAAGTGGAGACGGCGAGGTGGCGAACTCCATTCAAATGAGATTCAACGCTAGGGAAGAATCGGAAGAGATGCCAAGAAGCTGAAGAGGGAACAGAAGAAGGGATGCGGAAGCGAGCACAGTGCACGCTGGCCTCTGCTCGAGTGTTTTTCTATTCAGAGAAGGCTCGCATAAAGTCCTATATACCGAGTTCTATCCTATCCTATCTCCCGGATCCCCCAGGAGCCAGGGAGGATACGGGATAAGAGAGGCAAAGGGGTGGTTCTCCCATTCCAGAGGACCGTTCATTGAAACGAATGGCCTTGTCCGCCTCTTTCTCCTCGTCCTTTCGTCTTCTCTCTGTCTTGCTTCACTCTTCCTGCTATTCGCGGTCTTTCAGGTTTCACTCTCTCTCTCTTTCTCTCTTTTCCCTTGCCTTTCTATCCCTGACCCTCGAACGTGCCTCTCTCCACTCTTCCCTTTCCGATTTCCAGTCGCGCTTCTTTCTTCGCTTCTTCCTCGAGTTACGCCTCCCGCGAATCCGCCAGGATTACTTATCTTCCGCCAAAGGACGCTCAAGGCTCAACCTAAAGCATCATTTGAATAAACGCGAAGTTACTGCGCGCCTGTTCCCGGCAGGCAAGAACGAGCGAAAGAGAGAGAGAGAGAGAGACTCTCTAGCGCGCGTCCCACGACTATATTAATGGCGTCGTGATACCTTCGGGCAAAAAGAGGACCTCCTCGCTCTCTATTACCTGCGGGATGAGATTCCTGTCAGCAAGGATGTCGCGTCTTCAACAACGGGTCACGATACTCGTGCATCGTATTATACTGACGCGTCGAGGCGAAGAGAATTCTAATATAATTTACGATAATCGCGGAATTCTTGTTATTTCTTGAAACATAGTCGGTAAATAATAATAACAGCAGTTAATAATAATAGAGCGCGATTCGAATAATTTATCGCATAATGTTGTTAGGGAGGGTGAAATTAAAACTTACAGGAATATAAATAGAAGCTCC